AAATGATAGAGGCTTGAAAAGTTAAACTATTTATGATATGCAATGGAAATACAATACTCAGAATGAAGCAATGAAAAATCTTCTACATTTGCATAAAAGAAAAGTTATAATATTTATCAGTGACCCCAATATGCCAGTGAAAGGTTAAAAGTAGAAAATTAGAGATTCTAAAATACATACGGTGGTTAACTTGAAAAATGGAAGTACATAATAGTAAAAGTAGGATTAAAACCTGCTGCCGTAAGGTCTGGTGATTTTTCCTTCAAAATTTCCTTCACGTCACTTCCGACAGTGTGACGTAATTTTATCAAGCTGTATTCCGCACTCGCAGCGTTGGCTTTATTGGCTAAATTGTCGGATGTATCACAGCGGCGTGGATTATTATCGGGATGCGTGGCCAACGCGTTTTTTCGTTTATGTCGGACGAATTATGGCCCTATTAGCCGATAATGGTGAAAAATATGAGCATAGAGGTAACGATCTTAGCCTATAGTGATCATAAATGCTGGATAAAATGTCGCGTAACGAAAGGGTGGGTGGGAGGTGTAATGCCAGCAATGCGACCAGGCAGGGCATAAATTCACGGCAAGCGGCGTGAGTTATGAAAATTTCATGGTATAACCAGGCCGTTTTATGCATTCATGATGCGCAGTACAATAATGTGTTAAAAACGATGTTTTCTTCCGGTTCAAACCTTTAGCCTTTGCTAACTCTAAGCTTTATTTTAACTAGTGTCTTACTCAGATCTCATATTTTATCTCATCACAAAATACCAATCAGATAAAACTGTAAGAAACCTAATTCCTTAATTGAAGCCCAACTTTCAATAGCCGTCAATACGACGTAAATAATGACGGTTCCGATAGGACTGAACTGCGCTTTGTAGGCAGACGAACCGTAGCTCTGCAGCTAGCTTGGCTACTCGGGGTTCTGTGCGTAACAGTTCGCTTTGACAAGTTTACGATGTTTAACGGGATGCAAATGCCGCACCACCGAACCGACAATAAAGAGTCGGATACACTGGCGTAATTACATGGCACGCGGTAATCCTCATATAACAACGGAACGAAGGGACGGAGAGAGTGAGAGAATCGTGAACCAGCGAAACCGAGGCCCTCGAAGCCGGGTCGGGTGTCGGCCACGGGACTGGCCGGATGCCAGCCGCCAGACAGTAGAAGTGCCGTTTTCGACTCGCGGAACGAATCAGGTTCGCCACCCCCGCGAACACGGTGCGTGTAGACGCGTACAACGCTCGTGTAGACGCGCAAACGTAAGTACTAACGACCACTAGTTGCGGCCTCTTTATGGCCGGTACCGAATGCGTGTATGCAAACATAGGGTTGAATTGTAAACTTACGTTAGTGTTGTACAAAGATATCTTTGATTATTTGTGATTCAGAGGGTTGTTGAGGAAGATAGCTTCCGTGGAATGTGCACAAGTATTTAACAAGAGGAGTTTGGATGCTAACGTTCTGCGTTGGGACTCGTAGGGTTAAATTACGGAGGGTAAAATATGTATGCACTTTTGAGAATATGCACATCTGAAGAATAACATACTACAATTTGATCAAGATTTGCAACGTCTTGCATTTTCATAAAGTCACCTTAAAGTAATGTTGTCTAATTTTTCAGAATGCAAAGGATGTTAGACTTGTTTAATTTTACGACGGTTCTCCGATGTAAATCTTGATAACAAATGATAACATAACACATGGTGCTATAAATTCTGCCGTTATACATTCGTTGTCAAACACATTCGTTCACAAACTTTGCTCGTGCATCCGCGCTAGTATAAAGATCGCGCGCGAAACTTTCACTCATCGTCAGTCTTGGCGATGCGAAGGTACAAAGCATAGTTACCCTCGAGCGCATCATTCACGACATTTTGATGGATGTTCCTGAAACATATTTATGCCGCCGCGACGTGATGTCATTCCTTGATCGATTAACTTATTATCTATTCTACCTTTGCTGATTGATTTCATATTACAGACGAAATTACTATTAATGCAAGACAATTTCGTTGTCCATAAATCCGACGGTAAGAAATTCAATAACAAATGCAAGCCTTGTCATCACAAAGAACATTTCTATCTTCCATGGACCTCGCACACCGCTCCTAACATTGGAAACGCACTTAAATACGTTCTTGCATGCTACTCTACCATTACTACTACTACGGCTACGGCAAAGTTAGTATAATTAATGGGACCGTAATTTTTAAAACAAGCTAGTACACGGCATATAAGTATGAATAATAATAACTTTTAGTAAATGTAATTTTCTATTAATAGTTTTTAATATTCCAATTTTCACGTAACTCAGCTACATGCTCGTTAACACGAGCCAACCTTAAATTACGATTAAACTTCTAGTTGGCTAGATAATACGTAGCAAATTGCTATAACATACACGAGATCCAAAAGATCGAGACTCCTGGCTTAATGAACAGTGAAACGCGACGCTTGCCGGTAATGAAATCGATGTGCAACCGTAAGTATTTAATAAAAATCACACAGACCATTTAGCAGCAAATTGATTTTTCCACGTGATGTACTACTGCCATTACAATAATAAATGTTAATTGCCTTTTTTATTCTTCAACTGAACATTATTCTTTACGTAGTAATATACGAACAGTTTGGGATAATGAAACTCGACCCGATTTTTGGGCAATTATAGAAAATCTGTAAGTATTCAATCAAACGTATTAATCGAATATTAAGAAAACGTGGCATACATTTATTATTATTCTCGAATCTTGCCTTCATACGACGAAATTAACACAGTCAAAAATGAATCGGGGTCGCGAATTTCAAATGGCTGTCAATTATTAAGTACCTTTTAAGTGGTATTAATTTCAAACATGTAGTTATCAATTACTTACTATCCAATTTATTTAATACTTGTCTATATATGTTCCACGCGTATGTTCTTGAATTATATGCAATCATCATCGTAAATGAGCGAACGTACAATATATACGTCACTACGAAATGGAAAATTACAATTTTACTTGCACAGCGTACCAAGGGCCGGCCTCAGTAGTCCGCTTTTATTTCCGTCGTTTTTCCTAACGAGATATTGATACAGCCAACGGAGAGAGTAACTTTCAACCCCCGTCCTCCCCCTCTCTTTTTCCACCCTTTCTCACTCAATCCTTCTGTCCATCTCTGTCGACCTCTGGTATAGACTCGTCTGCAGTCAGTCGTCGTTAGGCGGTAGGATGGGCTCGATAAATCCACGTTAGTATGTGCAGAGGGTTGCGAGCGTAGCCTGTGTAACCACTCTTCTTGTTCTCGAGCATCGTCCATAACATCGTTCCGGAGTTCCACGACGCCGGCGTACGACTCGGAAATTTATTATCGAGATGCAAGGAAAAAGGCGAACACATGGAGACGAATCTTGGTGCAGGATCCCGTGTCCTTGAGTTTTAAGTTTGACCTTTTTTATGGAACGAAACAAGCAGCAATTTTAAATTAAGTTTCGCCAATTCATTCCACGCAAAAGAGTTCGAAACGTCTCAAAATTGATGTAATCATTCATTTCCTGTGTCCCATCTAAATCTGCACAAATTTGAAGTATAATAATTTCTCTTTATATCGACCTCAGGTCTCAGATATCGACCAATCTATGACAGGTTCCATAAAAATTCAAATATCCTAAAATAAACTACGAGACAGCAGCTTTTCTGCTTTCAGCTAGAATTTTAATTAGAATTTTAGTTAGAATTCAATTGCATTGCAAGTGAATTCGATTTCTGTTGCATTATTTTTACTGCATGTCCCATCTTATATCATTCCGTTATTGTATTCGTCAGAATTTGAAATCTGAAGCTTAGTTCGAAGTTAAAGATATTTAGGATAGGTTTTTCTGTATTTCGGTAAATAAATTAACAAATGCAAACGGTTGAAATTATTTATATCTGTCGAGAGTTAGTAATAATACTCATAGAAACGAAGATATCTTATAGTTTCTTCGATATTCCTGCTTCGAAAATAGAATAGCAATTATTTTCAACATTTCTCACACTTGTGTCACTCTATTTTTATTTTTACACAACAGTTTTTACAAGTAAAAATAAATGTAATTGACATTGACATGTAATATTTTAAGGAATATTGGCCCGAGACGAAGCTATCTGATGAAAATATCTTGTTTCTTGACTTTTACTCTGATTAGAGGAAGGCGAAAATTGCCTACCTTTTTCTCGCGCGAGCGGAGTTCCATTAAAACTTGTTAGCACTCTCTCTTCGTTGGTAACATATCCTTGGTGGTAATCTCTCGTCGGTGGTGATGATAATATTTCCTCAGTGCATGGACAGATAGAATTTGAAGACACCAACTGTAGCTAACGGAGATACATTCTGCCACCAAGAAGAGATTACTAGAGTCACAGCACCGAGACACCGAGAAGAGATTATCAAAGATACCGAGGAGAGATTACTATATCGGAATATCATTCCTGTGTTATCATCATCCACCAAAATCAAAGTACCAATGCAGCACATATTCGTATTCTTCATAATAGAGGGCACTACAGTATCTATTCGAACTGCTTGGTATTTCATACCCATGGTGATATTGGCCAGGCCAAGACACCCTTTGATAAAGATAAATAAAGAATATCATAAAACGTAAATCATGCTTGATTTTTCGTACCTATGATGATATTAGGAAAGCCAGAACACCCTTCATGTCATAAATAAAAAATTACTGAACAGAACGATACCACTTGATATTTAACATTCTTGCAAATTGCAAATTTAAATCACTGAAACCTGTAGCATTACAGATTAAAAATTTACATTTGTGACAACTGTATATTGAAACTATTTTATTCTATCTTACGTTACCTATACCTTATGTATTACGTTATCTGAAGAACGACGTGAAGTTGAAATTTTATTTACCATATTGTTTTTCCCTTTAATCACTTTCAAAAATTAACCGCTTTAGCATTTTCTGTATATATCGATATATTATTGTGCTTCATAATGATGCAGCACACAGAACACGCTTGCGACATATCTGAAGAAGAACAGGACATATCATTCCTTCCTGGCAGAAGACCGCTTCAAATACTATACGATTGCATGCGTATGTCTTTATTGGCATCTCGCAAGAACCCAGCAGCGCATAAATATCTGCGAAGCAGTGCTTCCATAGTTCACGAGAAGCGTCGTCATTGGCGAAGTTATGGACACGTGATTCACCCCTTCAGTCTATTCAGGTAGAATAGTTTCCATAATTCAGCAAGTATGTGATAAGAAAATCATGAACTTTAATTAAAAGTCTACTGAAAAATTATTTAATGATATAAGCAGAAGTGTCACACAATATAATTACTAATTCAAATGCAGTTCACATAATGATAAATCACTTCGTGAAAGTTTCTGATAACTGTTCACGCATCCGGTCCACTTGCTCGACACGTTATGTCCCAGATTGTTATTTCAGAAATTGCTGGGATTTCTTGATGATTTTTGTGATAACTTGTGTATTGTTGCTCGTTCCCTATCTGGCCGCATTTGAAATGGAAAATAAGTCACGGATGTGGAACATTAGCAAGAATTTCCTATTGTTGATCTGCTGCGGAGACATATTTATCAATTTATTAACTGGGCAAGTATCACATCGAATTAATATCGACAGATTAATGTAATTGATATTGCCCCACAGTATAATCTATCTATTACGGTAAATGTTCCAATTTCTGTTCCCGTCACAATTTCACTGGTTCATGAGTACATATAAGATAATGCCATTGAGTGGAAATTGTAACGTGAGCAGAAATTGGTTCACTTACTACAATACGAAGAGTCCAACGCTATTTACTCGTTTCATGTTTAGATATTTCGACAAAGAATTACACGCGGTGGTGTTAGAACCAAGAAATATAATCAACCACTACATGAAGTCCAGTACTTTTCTCCTAGACCTATGTGGTTCCTTCCCCACGGATCTATTTTTCGCGACCAAATTCGTCGAGTTGACAGTGATGCGGAAAACGGTATCCCTCATGTGCCTCTTCCGCGTGTTCTCCCTTAACATCTATTTTAACAAATTAGCCTTCGCTTACGACATCCCATTAGCCTTGAAAGAGTTTTATCTAATACTAGTATGTATGATAATATTATTACATTGGCAAACTTGCCTTCACTGGCTGGTGCCTATAGTAACGACATCCTGGAAATTACCTCAGCGTCCCGGTAACAATTCTTGGATACACAGCCATGATCTATGGGAACGGTCCAAGTCGAAACAGTATTTGTACAGTACCCTTAGGGCTATATCGACTTTCATGAGGTCCAACTTATTGGACACGGATCAACGGGACGTGGGTGACATATATCTGATCATTGTATTGCAACTATTCGGAATTATCGCGCCCTGGTTCCTCCTTACGCGTATGATGCAATTCTTCAAGGGTGTCAACAGTTCTCGACTCAGATACCAGGGTACGGTGGCTCAACTGAGACAATACATGAGACACAAGCAATTACCGTATCCTACTCAGAAGAGAATCATCCAGTACTACGAATTTCGTTTTCAACACAAATTCTTCAGAGAATCTGAAATCATTCATACTTTGTCGTCGCAAATGCGTCACGAGATCAGTATGCATTCGTGTCGCAAATTGGTCGAAAACGTGACGTTCTTCAACAATTTGCCACTGTCGCTGTTAGGACGAATCGTTGCGCTGTTGAAATCCGAAATTTTTTTAACGAACGACGTAATCGTTCGGGCGAATCAGCCGGGTGACTGTATGTATTTCATCGCTACCGGCACGGTGGCTATTTACACGAATTCGGGAAAGGAGGTATGCCATTTAGAAGACGGAGCACACTTTGGGGAGGTCGCACTCGTTATGCCGAACGAGTTGAGAGTAGCCAGTGTCGTTGCCGTCGAGGTATGCGAGTTGTATCGTCTGAATCGAGCCGACTTCGCGCGAACGATACACCCGTATCCGATGTTGTGGGAAAGAATCAAAAAGATAGCGATTGAAAGACACGAGAAGACGATGATACTCAACGAGCAGTGAATTGACATTATTCTTTTTCAGTTCTATATGGAATCTAGAATCTTACGTTGTTAATAAGTTAATGTTATCAGTTTCCCTTACATGTTATACAGTTATTCTGCTTGATATTATAATTATATTTATGAGACTTTAATAAAATAAGCATAATTGTAATCACAACAACGGTGAATGATTTATGTTTAAATAATTAAAAATACTTTACCTTATAGTCGATAGTTATTATATCTACTCTATAATGTTCGTAGACTTCCAGTTATAGCACGAGCACAATTAAAATTACAATTCCGAATGCTTTAAACTTTATTTTCTTTACAAACCTAACATCAAAGCCGTTACTATTCAGTATCACTCTTTCTTTCAAGACCACTCAACGTAATTAACATGGCTACTAGGCTCCAACAATGTTCCTGAATAAACCATATGCCTATAGAAACATCAGAGAAACACGTCTCGATCTTTATCCACGAATGCATAGCTGAACACGGTAGATACATGGCATCTTTTCATATGCGTAAACGTCTAATGTATTACGAGCCGATATATTGTTACCATAATACCAGGCTGAGCGGCATGGGAAGAATCTCAGTTAGATCATCGAGTCCGGTGAATCGCTAATGAACCGGCGAGCATAATAGCCGGGAAATTGTTAAAGCCGTATCACGTCTCGAGCATCTGATAACTGTTTCTCCAGGGTTGGTATTAGCGCGGGAGATTTATTGGCGCAATTGCAACGATTTTTGTTAGGCGTAACAGTGGCCTGTACACATAGCCGCTATGATCGAGCGCGCGCGCGCGGCCTGAAGGGGAGGGGGGGATCGCGATGCTCGAAGCGACAAGACTGCAATTTCCAGCGTGAACACACGGCCCGTTACAACAAATGAACGTAGGAAGAAAAACCGCGTCGAAAGCGTCAATTTAGTCGTCCAATCTCAATCCCGGTGGATAAACCGTTATCAAACGAAATCGACTGGCTATTGGATTGTATTTATGGCAATGCCGAGACGGCCTATACTTTCATAGTAAAAATATCTTTTATTCTCTGCAACGATTAAAAAGATAATAAATCGCATATATTTATTCAGAACGGCTCCAATAGATCTTCGATCTAGCTCTTATTATGATCCCTTTATTTAGCATTTTGACAAGGCTCGTTAAAGCCGGCTAGATTCGATCGCGTCGTTATCCAAGGATATAAGTCCGTCGTCTGATTGTCTCTACTCTACTCTTCGTATATCACATTAAGAATGCACGGACGCGCGAGGGAACAGATCTGATTTACTTCACGATGCCTGCTTATCCGGCGGAGATTCGCGTGTCGAGTTATCCCAGGCGACCGGTTTTAGCTATCTACGTGCCGCGATCCAACGATACCCGGAGCCCATTATTAATGAATACGGTTTTCACTGGGAATTCGTCGTTTTGTTCGGCCGCGTAACGAGATTTCGTGCGCGGCCTGTCTGTCGCCGAGAATCACGCTGCTTGCGACCGAACCTCCTTATGTTAGACCCGAAGCGTTAAATCATCGACGGACGCAGAAACGGCGCCGACTGAACCTTTTAATTGGTAATTTATTGCATACGTGATATCGTGCAGAGGCAGGTATGCGAAAATCTTTGCGATCTTTATCGCTACCAGTTATTTCGAACTCATGAGTAGAGAATATCTTTTATTTAGTTAAAACGTTTTATGTAGCATTTGGTATCGACATTTTTTCGATAAAAGGAAATTGCGACCGAAATAGTTGAACAAAGCGGCGGTGTTGCTACCGTGACATTGGAACGGTGGCATCGATGGCGTCGCGGTACCGAGAGGGCCGCCCACGCTGGCAAAACAATGGTTTGTGCGCATCGACGCATGGGCAGAGCGGCGCACGACACGATGACAATGAAACGCTTAGGAGGGCTGGCCATTGTAATAGGTTGACGATGCGCCTGCTTGGTAGCCCTCAGTGCCGTACGCGCACCGCGTATCCCTCCCTCCTGGAGCCTCCTCGCGAAATCTACAAGCGGCAAGAGGGACGTGGCTGGCGAGCAAACGAGCAACCGGTGCGTTGGTGGGAGCCTGATAGTACGTGACAGAATGACGAAGCGGACGGAAACTATTGTTATGAGAGCATCGCGAACTAACCATCGGGACAGAACGATTTGGGATACGAATCTGTTTACAGGACAGAGCGAAATTAAATGCGAAATGCAGAACGATACACAAGCCTGGGAAATATGAAATGAGAAAGAGGAAGTATATGGAGTAAGAGGAAAACGGAAGAAGGAAAGATATGAAGCGAGAGAAAGAGGGAATTGCGGCTATGGTTATGTGGCCACACCCCGCGAAGCCAGCCAACAGGCTTTCTGCCGACGACCCACCTGACCCCACAATGGCTGTTGGTACGGAACGTTCTGAATGCATCGTCGCCTCCAGTGCGCATGCAGTTCGAACAGGGTATGTTTCTTCGAATGCATACATATATGCACCGGCTAGAAGAGGCGAGATAACTAAGGATGTATGAAAAGATGCACGGGAAGGGATGCTGTGCCAGTTCGAAACAGTCACAATCGCAAGCATTTCTTTGTCTGATAAAAAATAAACCACTGTGATAATGAATACAAAGTATCGGAGGATATTTTGGGCTCGCGTATTTTATGCAATCGCAGCTACTTCTACAACACGCTGACTGGAACGTTAATGGTGCGAATTTTCAGAACTCCGTGTTCTTCGCGTTATTGGTAATTTGATATACGTGTTTCTTCTTTTCGACCAACCGAAGAAGGGAAAAATAACAATGATATCCAGAGTGAAAATGGAAGCGAAAAGATTATTCGATCAGCTAAATCGAGACAAATCTAAGCTTATGTCAGATCATAAGAAATCAAGAATATAAAATACGTTTCTTTAATCATTAATGGAATATACACTGGAGGGTAAGAAAGAAGACAAACACAAAGAAAATATCGTCGTCACTAAAGGAGCACCTCGAGTAAGTTGACGTTCCTCCGTGGTGCGTCCTGATCTCTAAAAGTCTCCACGTAGCTTTCTCATAGACGGCAGAACGCGGAGCACACCTATAGTAACAAAACCCGGCGACGGCGACCCTAGCTACCTACCTTCTCCTCCACGGTGGGTCGATACTCTGCGGGCCACCACCCTCTGCCAACCTGGTCCGCGCTCTCTTGCCTCGTGCACCCTCGCTCTGTCTCTCTTTTTTCATCGCAGTAACCATTTCTCCGTCTTCCATCGTCTCCCATTACCACCCCTTCTCCGTGCCTGCTCTCGCGTACCCATCTTCGCCCACCATCGTGGTATTCCGCGTTCTCTCTCCACCCGTCCCCTTCACCCTTCCCGTCCCACCTTTTCTTGCACCTCTTCGTCTAATCAGCCAACGTCTCTCCGCATCGGCCACTGCCGCTTCGCTCCCTCTCCTTCTCTCTCCCGTCTATCTAGTTACCGACCTGGTCCATAGGTGTACCGGTTGATTGATCGTTTATCGATACGCGGAGAGAGAGAAAGAGAGAGAGAGAGAGAGAGAGACGCGACCAGAGTTGTGGCTACGTCCTGCACCCTTCACCCTTTCAAGCATACGCATTACACATTTATAAGGGCGTTAAACACGAGCCACATCGACGGCATAGAGTGCTATACGACATATACACTATATGTATATACATATATAGGTATATCCTTTTCCCTCTCTCGTGTATACTATACAGCCTCTTCTTCCTCCGGTACAGCGTTCACCCCCATCCCGCTCCGTCTTCCTTCCCTTTCCCACCCTTTGATACCAACCGTCCGTCTAGCTAACGGAGCCCCCTGGATTGGTTTTCTATAGGAAAGGCCATGCTCGATTGGTGTCGGTGTGTTTGTAAGCGCGCCGCGCTGGGCAACATCAATGTTTCGAGTCGGGCTCGTCCGCCCCCATTATTTCACCCCCGGCCGCGGAACCACTACCACCCCGACTACTTGCCCGTGCTACCTCTCGCGTTCCTCGTTTCCTCTCTTCCTCTCTCTTTGCGACCACATCTCTCGCTCTTCTTCTTTCATAGCCGTATATCTATGCCTCTCTCTCGTCTCTATTCCCCCGCTTCTGCCATTATCTCTCCTGCACTCCCTTGACTATATCCTCTGTCTGGCTTTTTCCCGTTACGCCGCTATGCCGTGCCGTCTACGTCCCGCTCTACTACCCCCTTTCTCTGTCGCTCCCGCTCCCGCTACGATACCATAGCTATATTACACGCCGCTCCCGTAACTTTCTCCCACACACCGAATCCCAGTGTTGTACAAGCGATACTTATCGATATGGGCTTCCGTTTATCGTTGACTACATACGTAACTTAACCGGCGCAGCGGCCCCGTGCACTTCCGAAACTACTGTATCAATTTTTAACTGCGCGCCGGATTTATCGGAGCTTATATTCCGTTTGCGCGCTGTCTATTGGATCGGAGATATTTCAGCCTCGATTTCTCCCTTTTCACTGGTTCGTTACTCTTTTTTCTTTCGTCAGTGTTTACGTAAGGTACACTGATAAGACATACCCGGCCCACAAATTTCGGTACGAATAATATGAAATAAGTCCTGTCCAATGATGAAGATATTTCGTGCAATCATTTTCAGTGAATCTAGGAATGCAATAGATACCGATATCCATTTAATTAGCCAAAGCAATATTCCTAATGATTACTATTGACAAACAATGATGATGTTAATATCGTGCATGCGTTCAATTACATAAATTTGCGTGCACGCATGATTATCGTTATCGACTAAAAGGGCGGCCACCGGGAACGGAAAGAAATTGCGCTACCCCTATCGAACGCTGGCTTCCAACCGTGACGTGGCATTACGGTGTTGACTGTCCGTCACACATCCCCGAGCCCGAATGACGACGTTTATAAGGTAGTGTCAACAACGGTGGGTAATGATGTGCGGCCCCTATGGCTGGCTAGTATAGGAGCAAGCCAGCGGGTGGTCGGGCACCCGCAACGTATCATCCCGTCACGCTACATTG